CGCCTCTTACGGCAGCCTGCCCACTGAGTAGCCTAACGGAATAGCCTTTATTCTGGCAAAGGCTGTCAAGCTTGTCTTGTTGTTTCTTCTTCGGTTCGTTCCGGCCGACTTCCCTGGGCTTTTTTCGCCCTGCTCTCTGCTTGCCTTCACGTGCCCCTGCAGCTCGTCGTACCGCGCCTTGATCCCGGCCGCCTTCTCGATGGCACTCATCTGGCGGTCCAGCTCGTCGATATCCGTGAACCGCCTAGACCCTCCCCCGGCCTTCATCGCGACCACCTCTTTCTCCGCCGCAAGCCTTGAGCGTGAGGAAGGAGAGCAAAAAATGGCCAAGCGTGTGGCGGGGGGGGGGTGTACTCATAGTCGTGCACGCCGTAGTCGTTAGACCATTGACCTCGCATCCCTACAAAGCCGGAACGGAGCGCGACCAGGCTATCACATCACCGAGTGTCTGTGGGTGGGGTAAATGGAGAAATTTGCCCTCATGTCGGTGAAAAGACACGAACATTGGGAACAAAAACACCGAAGGAAAAATAAGGGATGCGGGTGTCGGGCAGACCTCTTCATTTCGACGAGCAGACAACTTCTGTGTGTTATGCACGCTTGCGTTTTGCCGCACACATCGATTAACGATGAAGGTTTTGGGGTATGTAAATAGCAGCGACTTGTTACTGCTGTGTGCTCTTGACTTCGCCGAGAGAGATTGGAGGAGAGAAAGGCACCGACCACGTTTGTGTGTCGAAGGAGAGAAGCACGGCAAGAACCCTCTGCGGCATCCAATCAAAACGTGTTCTGCCAAACACCCAGCACGCCGCAAACGCCGCCTCACTTGTCGATACCGAGCTTCCGGCTCTTCATCTTGAGCTGTTCGAGGAGAAACCTTGTGTTTTCCAGCTACGCGCCATGATGATTCCATCACCACGACACAATAATGGCCGTGAGGCGACGAGGGGCAGATCGAGAGCGATCGGAGTTGATCAGTGGGGGGGATGCAAAAATACAAAGAAGGTGCCTGTTTCTTTCATGCCTCCTTCTTCCCTCTCGTCTTCTGAGCATCGATCGCTGCTGCGACCGGTACGTGATGTATAGGCATGGTGGGTTCATCCACTGCCACGACACATACCGAGACAGTAGAGGCGCACCATGCAATGATGATTCCACCGGCAGAGTACAGCTCGCCGGCCACAATTGCGCTCCCCACGCCGCCGCCCACAATTGCGTCATGTTGTCGTGGGGTCATCGCTTGATCGCGTCGAAACTCAACGTCTGAACGCCATATAACCGCTGACTACACGAGTTTCGTTTGTCAACTCCACGATCGACCCAGGCATCGAGAAAGGGAAAGGGTCTCGGTTATGGGCAGGGCAAGAGCGGTAGCCATAGAGAATCAGCAATCGCAAACAGCAGTTCGTGCACACAATCTGCGAACAACTCAACAAAAAAACAAATCACCTCCTCCTTCATCTCCTGGAGATTTCTGCTCGCCATAAGGTCTTCAAATTCCAACGACGTATCGGACGAGAACCCGTCCACCTTCGACAACGACGAAAAGGGGTGCCGTGAGGAAGACGGGGGGGGGGGGGGGGGGGGGGGGGGGCCCAAAACGCGGGAAAAAACCGGGGAAAAATTGGGGGGGGGGGAAAACCCATTTTTTGCCCCCGGTTTTTTTAAAAAAAAATTTTTGGGGGGCCCCCCGTAAAACCGGGGGGGGGACCCCCCCCCTTTGTTTTTCCACCCTTTGGGGGGGGTCCAATCCGGGAAACCCCGGGGGGGGGGCCTTGGGGCGCACCGGAACCCTGGGGGGGGGCAAGGGGGGGGTTTTTTCCTTTTTTCCGGGAAAGGCCTTTTGGGCCGGGGGGAAAGGGAAAAAAAATCCCCAACGGGGGGAAAAAACCCCAAGGGGGGGTGGCCCAAAAAGGGGCAAGGGGGAACCCCCCAACCCCCTTCCTTTTTTGGGGGGGGGAAAAAATTTTTTTTAATTTTTTTTTTTGAAAAAATTTTTTTAAATTTTTTTTTTTACAAAACTTTTTTTTATTTTTTTTTTTTGCCAAAATTTTTCCAAAAACCCCC